GCTTTGCAGAAATGGGCTTGGCTATCTTCTTTAAGGGTTAGCTTTGCTTTAGCTGATTTGAACGTTCCAAGTTTGTCTTCAAAAACATCAGAGTATTTGTCTAGCATGGTTTGCAGCTGCTCCTTAGTAGTTGATAGGGTTTGTGAAGCTTTCAATGACTTAATAGCATACCAATCTAGGCGTACCTTGTGAAGCCAATCCCTTCCCATCAACACAGGGCCCTTGTTCTTAACCACATACAGATCCAACAGCAATGGTTGCTGGTCTTTGTACTCAACATTTACCTTCAGCACTCCAGCTGGGAAAATGTTCTCTCCAGTATAGGTTTTCAACATTAATTTAGTTTCTTGCAAGGGCTTGTCGTGAAATTTCTCCCTGTACAAATTATGTGGAATAATCGACACAGCTGAGCCTGTGTCCAGTTCCATTTTCAGTGGTTTACCTTCCACTTTCAGATCGATCCAGATTACAGTACTGCTCGGTTTGCTTACATTGTGTATCTGTATGCTTCCTAATACATCTTCAAATTCATCGCTCTCACTGTACTCAATAGAATGGACTTGAGTGTTAAGCGGTGGTTTCGGTGGTTGTTTTGGCTTACCTTGTTGTTTCGAGCGACAAGCTCTTGAAATATGGCCCACCTTCCCACAATGATAACATGTTTGGTCCTTGAATCTGCAATTGTGCGTTGCGTGCGAGTCTCCCCCACATCGATAGCAAACTTTAGTGGTGGGGTTCGGCGATGGCGCTTGTGTGTGGTTATCTGAGATCTTGTCAACGCGAGGTTCTGATTGAAGCTCACTTTGTAATTCCGCAGCATCGCGAATAGCCGTTTCCATTGCTATCGCTATTTCCAAAGCCTTGGAATATTTGAGTTTGGCTTCTGAAAGCAACCGTTTTTGTATCTGCACATTTCTAAGGCCACAAACCAGTTTATCTCGTAAAGCTTCGTTAAGGTTGGCCCCAAAGTTGCAGTGGGTTGCTAATTTCTTCAGGTCTGCTACATAGGTCAAGACAGTTTCTCCTTCACGCTGAATCCGTTTGTAGAAACGAAAACGCTCCGCTATTTCTAATGGTTTAGGACTTAAGTGTTGCTGAAGAGTCGTGACGATCTCCTGGAAGCTCTTCGTAGCTGGTTTATCTGGTGTAAGAAGATCTCTCAACAATGTGTACGTTTTATTGCCCATCAAGCTTAACAAGGAAAAATGGCGCTTGGTGGTCTTCATCGATGTTGTTTGCTAAGAAAAACTGTTCCACCCGTTCTACATAGGTTTCCCATTTCTCCTGTGTTTCATCAAAACTTTCTATCTTCCCGATAGCAGTCATATTTTCGATGGTCTCCTACAACTTTATCCTCATCGCCACTGTCATGTATTCGGTTTTTTATTTATTTGAAAAGCACATGGAATAGATAATGCGCACATGTGCGCATGCTTACGAGAACCAACCGCATACACTACAATAATCATGTAATTATAATTCAATTTTTTTATTTTGAGACAAGTTATTAGCAGTAACTTAGCTCAGAGAGCATTGGAAGAAAACATGGATATAAGTTATTGTTTTTTTTGATAGGTTATAATTATAATCTCAGTTCTTAATTCATAATCATAGTTTCAATTTTAGTGTCTGAAAATGTTTTTTAATTTTTTTTTCTGCAGTTGGAAATGTCCTCAATTCCTGCCTTCCTTGGTGTCGTCATGGCAACCTTTGGAGTATGCAGTAGCTCCCCACCAACTCCACCCACAGCATCGGCAGAGTCATCATCAGAGCCTTTCTTTCAAGGTCTCAAAAAGGTTTGATATTGTTTTTTCTTGTATATTGCTTTGCCCTTGCTCAGTAGCATCCTTCATCATCAGTGTTATTGATAAGCACCCCAACAATACCTAAACTTGCTACCATGATTGAGAACTAAATATTTATTGTTAAAATGCTTCTGGTGGAAGAATATTTTAATCAGGTATTATGAACTGGAAATACATGTCTAGCAGAACCTTCCTTTTTTGTCATTTGCCTAGATGACTAGTAACCCCATTCACACCAGAAAAAAATGTTTAGTTAAACTGGGTTGAGCTGAGTGAAAATCAGAAACAGAGAACTGAATTTTTTTATAAGATTCAAGTATTGGCTATCTTGTATTTTCAATGTGCTAAATTTGAAGTTGTCAACATTAATTTTAGCAGCTTCTATGAAGAAAACAATTTTAAACAGTGTTACACAAAACAGCTTGAAAACATGTTTTAGCTTTAGTGAGAATAGGGTATAGGTTTCAGGAGGTTCCTACTCATTGCAGACATTCTTGCATTTTGCATAAGGGGTGGCCGATGAAACAGTCAAATGCCAGCAATATGGTTGTTGTACTTTCCAAATGTGGACACTTCCCATAGATACACAGTACCCCTAAGTTTGGCACTAATTTATGGCCATAAAAACCACATTGATTCCACTTCTTAAACTTCATAGAAGTTAGTATCTCTCTGAAGTGCAAAGTTCTTTTTTCCTAACTGTACCCTTTTTGGAATTTCCACCACTGAAAAAATGTTAAGACAAAAGCAAACCTCAAACTGTTTTTCTTGTTGTCTCATATCTTTGTAGTTTTGTCTGAAGACATATACCTTTAAAATAATTTGTCTCTAAGTCTTGACAATCATCTCATGTTTACCTAGCCCCACTCTTTGTGACCTCAGCCTGTATTTTTGTTCAGCTTTTGCAGAACAAACCTTACCTGGTGTTGCTGGTCACATTTGGTTGTGGGATAGGCCTTTTTACCTGCCTTACAACAATTTTAGAACAAGTCATCTGCCCAAGAGGATATAGTGATGTAAGTATTATCATGCAGCATTTACAGTATGTGCCCAGGAAAAAGAGCAAACTAGAAGTTTCCATGGTTAAGAACCCATGTAGGATGAAGGGAGAACATGAGAAAAGTCGGATTTTGTGTACTCAAGGCATCTGTCAGCTGAGTATCAACCAGCACTGCCCATTGATTGTCTTGTTATACAAGTTGGTAGACCATTGGTTGCCACTATCAGTTGCCAGATACTCAGTCAGTATGTTTGTTAACACTTGACGGACACCTTAACTGTTTCCTTGCAATCAACAATCAACAGTGCATTGATCAAGTAACCGTTGGTGTATTGTTGGACTTTTGGTGGTGGTGGTGTATCGGTGGACTCATGGTGGTGTATGTGTATTGTTAATTGTTGTTTTACTGGAATGACAGCCGTCTCTTAGTCCCTTCCCCTTATCCACTGGGGATGCAAAAGAAGAGTTTTGATCATGAAGGGATAGAGAAAATAAGTCATTACTTCAGTAGAGAAAAATGTAAAGAACTCTGTAACAAGAGCTAATAACCAAGTGACAGCAATGTTGGCCAAGTGTTGGTAAAGTATTGCCCAAATGTCGCCTGAATGTCAGTAAAGTGTTGGCTGGTTGTCAACCAAGTATTGTGTGATATGCATGTTGGTCAAGAAGTGATCAATGTTGATTGACATGTCGGCAGATAATCGGTTGATATGTTGGTCAAGAATAAGCCAATGTATGAACCAAAACTCAGTCAACATGTCAACTAGTAGTATTGACTGATACTTGACAGACAGATGCCTTAGGTACACATGATCCAACTTGTCTTATGTTCTCCCAACATCCCCATGTGCTTAACCATCCTTGTTAGAAACAAAAAAACTTTTCTGCCCTCCATCTGGTCCAACTTCTTTCACACTTTCTTGTTCTTATTGTTTAGGTTCTTCATACTTTTATTATATGGGATTCCATCATGATCCAAAACCAATCTGTAAAGGTTGTAGTCACTTGAAGGTTAAACACATTGAGTTATCAAACCACTCTTTAAACCTTAAAAAAAAAAAACAATAGGAATATGACATTGAGAATTGGCTTTCAGAGTTATGAAATGGTATGACATTGAACCAAAACATTTTGACTTGATGTGCAATGGTGTATGTAACACCACACTTTGTCTGGTTGTTGTTAGCTTCTGATGGTAATTGTCTATTGGTTTAAGAAAATGGCTGGAATAGCAGGTGCTGTTTTGATAGCAGTTGGTCTGGTGGGAGGTGGATTAGCTGGTGTGTATGTTGACAAAACCAAGAGGTTTGAAGAGACAGCAAAGATTTCATATGCACTGGCAGCTGTATCATGTTGTGTACTCACAATTGTAAGTAATTGATACCTTGACGTGTTAACATTGTAAGCTGCCCTCACTGCTACTTGTAACAGGGTGGAGTCTTGTTGTCCTAGACCAGCTGAAATGGTTCAAGTTATACGCCTGGGATGTTAGATTTATTCATGAATTGCCATTAGTCAGGGAGTGGGTAAAGACAGCCAGAGATTCTGGAGGGTTCAATTACTTTAGTTAAACCCTATATGCCCTAACAACAGTTTTCAAGTGCTTCATACTATTCCCTGTACAATTATCCATGTAATAACCCTATAATCATGGTAATTATATGGATAATTCCCTTAATAATCAAGAGTTCCTTGACCTCACAATCATTTCCTTTATTCTTCTGGGCTGAGTTTTTCAAAGCTGGGCTAAGATAAACCAGGGTTAGTGTAAAGTTTGACTTCAGATCTAAAAGCTTTAAAAGGAAACTCAGTATAATTCTTTTGTTTACAAAGTTTGATGATTAGATTCTCTTAAAAGAATAAGGAAAATTATCCTAAAAAGACTCTTGGTTAGAGAAAAAAAAGAAACCTGGATTAAAATTTAACTCTGGGTTACCACTAATCGGCCTTCGAACAACTGGGACCCGACCTTTAGGTTTGACTCAGGTTGGGGGGGGAGGGGAGTTGTAAGGAAAAATTAGATACTAGTCACAACATGAGATACCAGTCACCCCTAAGAGACATTAGGGACCTTACGCAACCACGACGGCGACGGCAATGAGGACATGGAAAAACAAGAGATCTAATTGGCAGAACAATAGCTCAGCACGTGCGTTTTGAAACTTTGTACATTTCTTAGCCGTCCTATGCAAAACAACAACGTGAAATCGCCAAAATTTGCGTCGTCTGCGAACCGAAACCGCGACGGCAAATTATTTTAATTTCCATTTGGAACTCAACGCTACTTTTATACGTCATGCTGAAGTTGAGCTGTGGCGCCGTATAAGACAGTAAGCTCCTGCAACCATTTTTGAAATTCTAACTAAGAGTAGAAATTCATTTTTTAATCGAAGTCTTCCTTGGCGTTGCCGTCCTGATTGCGTAAGGTCCCTATTGAATCCTAGTCGCCCATATGAGAAATTAGATGCTAGTCATCCCTAGAAGACACAAGATGTTGTGGAGCAACTTCAGAATACCCGTCCACCTCATTTACATGTGTCGGGAGGCTTTGTAGAACGAGGCATAACACAATAGACGCTCTTCTTATTTAATAACATGTAAATGAGGTGGCCGGGTATTCTGAAGTTTAGCCGATGTTGTCACCCGCAGGAGACATTAGATGCATATAGTTACTCCAGATTCTATGGATCAAAGGGTTTAAGATGACTGAAATCCAAGATGCATATTTGAAAAATTATAACATACTTTAAAAATTAGGCACTTGTGGTTGGCTTAAAACGAGTGTATTTTCTATTTGTTCATGTGAATTGTTAGTGAGTAATAACATGATTTCTCATGCAATTTGGTGTTAATTAGCACTTGCACATTTTTCAAAGGCTACAAATCACACTTGCCCTACAGGCTCAGGCAATTTTGAAAAATTTACTTGTGCATGCTTATTAACACTCAATTGCACCTGAAATCTTGTTATTACCTATACCTATTTATGCTTACAATGTTTTCCAAATGTTCGCTAGGTGAGTAGCATGCCTGATCATCCTGTTCTTATTGTGGCCGTTAGTGGTTTGTTTGGTTTTTTTGCATTTGCCCTTATGCCAGTCTGTTTGGAAGTTGGAGTGGAGTGTACCTACCCTGTGGCTGAAGCAACAAGTGCAGGGCTTCTGTGGATGGCAGGGTACAGTGGTGGTTCTTTTGTTGTTACTTACTACTGCCATATACTTCACCCTGACCTCCCCCACCTCCCCCACCTCCCCCAAACAAAACTTGTTCTGGTATGCTACTCTGGTGATTATAGTTTTCTCATCTCATTTGTGTGATACACCAAAGTCTACACTTGCCACTGTGAGGTTTGACCGTCCATATAGGGACCGGTTGTTTCGATACAAAGCTGTTTCGACACAAGTCGATTCTGAAGTCAATTCGATATATCGATAAACTCGATTCGATACAGGTAGAAAGTCGTTTCAATACAAATTCAGTCATTTCGAGACAACCTAGTGAAGGATAAATTGGGTTGTTTTCAATCGTCTACCAGTCCGATGAAGAGAGTTTAAATGAATATAACTCGTTGCGAGAAGAGATTGCATCACCGAAGGAGCGAACGCATCCGCGCGTATGGCTCAAGAATTAAAGAATTGAATTAAAGAGTTAAATTTAGTTAATAGGTAAAACGGTGAGTCATTATTCAAATAAGGTTGTTATTGATATTATTCCCGGATAGATCGTGGTAAGTAGTGCGATCCGCTAGTTGTGTGAGTGTAATTCGAAACTCACGTTGCACGTATTTGCATAAATTGTGAAAGATGCACTTTTCGGTGCATCCCAAGGGTATGTTTTGGCTTATCATCCAGACATACAAACATCCGGCTACTCCTTCACTAGTTTTTATCGAAATGACCGAAGTTGTATCGAAACGACTCTCCACGTGAATTGAATCGACTTTGTCGATGTATCGAATCTACTTGTATCAAAATGACCGTAAAAAGGCCGGGTAAGGGATGACATGAATTGCAGTCATTGTAAATGAAAACAGTGCTTTTTATCACCACCTTTTCGCAAATGTTCGGCCTACATGACTGACTGATTATTACTCCTGGATGTGAGCCATTTGCTGTCAACACTCTTACTTACCATCGCCTCATGGTCTCTTCATACACATTGTAACAGTTTCACTTCAAACAGTTAGCATTGCTTTAGGAGGTATAACTTCAACCTAGTAATATTCTTATTTCTTCTTTTCAGTCAAGCCACTGGGGTGATATTCATATTAGTTTCCCAAGCTTTAGCAGTTCCCAAAAATTTCCCACACTCCAAGTGTCATCAGAAGTCAGACGACGATAAAGTCCCGGATTTTCTCTATGCCATGATTTTTATGACTTCAGTGGCTGTTGCTATGGCGATTTTGATAATTTGTGGCTTTAAACCTCCTTACAAACGCCTCCAGATGGAGCAAAGAAGAGAGGCTCAGAGAATTCTTCAATCGCACGGCGAGCAGAGACTTCCAATTATACCTTAACCGCCTAACCCAGACATCAAAAGCTGAGTGCTAAGATAACTCTTTGCAGACAGTTTTATCAGTTCTACGTCATCAGGGCGTATCTTGATTGACCTTATAACTCCTTAAACAGAGTAAACGAAACAGCCGACTAGAACTAGGCATATGAGAACGAATGCAATTTACGTCTAAATGTCTTGACTAAGCCTGGAATAACAAGTGTTCAAGTAATTGACGCTTTTAGTTGTGTATCTGGGTCCAGTTGTTCAAAGGGTGGATAACACCATCCGATGCTTAAATCCCTATTTAGCGAAATAGAGGTTCAGAACGTACTGCGGTATCCACTAGATAGAGAGTTATCTAGTGGATAGCGTCATCCGCACCCTTCGAAAAACCGAGGCTTTGGACACGGCGTAGACATAGAAACATAGCAAACTGAGCAATTTTAATGAACTCTTAAAAATGATTTTCGAATTATATTGCTCTTTAAGGCAGTGCGTTGTTTTAAAACTATCCTTGCCTTCCTCCACACATGTTTATATAGAATTTGCAGGGAAACCAAATTGAACTGATAGCGACTTTACAAAAATGCATCAAGCTAAATGGAAGATTTTTGTTTAAAATACTTTGTTTGCTTTATAAGGAATCGGCGATCTTAATCAGTAAGAAATAGGCATCAGACTTACAAACGATTTGAAAGGTGTACGTTTAGAATGGAGAGAAGCCAACTAAACTCGATAGTTGATAACTTTAGATTTTAAGAACTCGATTTTTTTTTCACTATCATCAGAGTTGCACTTGTTTCTTTCACAAAGAAAAAATGATCTTGAAATTACATAAAAAAAAAAATCAAAATGATATAACACTTTACCTGTCGGGTGTATGAATTGATTAAATGTAACATGAACCAAAAAAATTTAAAAAAAGTTATAGTGATATATTAATTTATTTAAGTAACGCTAATGGTACTTTTCTTAGAAGTTTTCAAGGCGTCGAGTGCATGTAAGAATTATGAATCTTATTATCCAACTACACCTAGACGAGTACAAATAACGCAATAGACGAGTACAAATATCACACGGTATTTGTACTCGTCTATTGTAGTACCGGTTAAACAGGTTTTCTCGCATCGCGCAAGCGAAGAATTGGATTGTAGTTACGAAAAAAAAAAAACATGGCGGACAATTTGAATCATATTTCCGACGACGAAGTGTCAGAGTGGCTGGCAAATATAGGCCCAAGTTTATTGGATGAATCGAACGAAGAAAAACAGCTTGACGACCAGAAAATTTCTTCATTTAATGAAAAAAATAGAAACAGCGACACAACAACGCGCCAATTCCGTTTCGCTTCGCATACTTCTGTCACGCACTCCCCGTAAATAAATATCCGCGAAATTCGCCCGCACTGAAATAACAGTTTGGCGTGTTTGATAATAAATAACTTATTAGACGTTTTGTTGTGTAGTATCCCTGAGTATTTTTACTCGTTATTTGTATTTTGACTCGCCCTACGGGCTCGTCAAAATACGGCACAACTCGTAAAAATACTGAGCGATACTACACAACAAAACGTCTAATTAGCAATTATTAAAAACTAGATCATTGGATAATGCAATTCAAGACTTTTTATTGGCTTAGCCATTATGGTATATGAGCCAATATACCATAATCTACAAATATGGCAAGCGTACGTGTCAGCTTAAAATTAAGAGGAAGCTAAAAATTTAATAAAATGTAATAATTTAATTTAACGTTTTTAATAAAACAATAATTATTCCACGAGCGCGCGTTGTATATGAGATGATAGATAGCCAACGAGGCGCTACGCGCCTGGTCGGCTATAATCATTTCATATCCAACAAGAGCGAGTGGAATAATTGTTTTATTAATAACGTTAAATTAAATTATTAAATTTTACTAAATTTTTAGCTCCCTTTTAATTTTAAGCTGACGCGTACGCTTACCATATTTGAAGATTATGGTATATTGGCTCATATACCATAATGGCTAAGCCAATAAAAAGTCTTGAATTGCATTATCCAATGATCTAGTTTTTAATAATAAGACATATATATTGAACGCAGTTACATGGAGGATGCGAATGACAAACACAGATTAACTTCCGCCGAAATATCTGTAACAGTGAATGTCCTCAACCATGTCATTAGGTTAATACCTCTATAGTATATTTTTAGAAAATAAAGGATTTTTATTTAAGGAGTAAGATGTGATGTTGGGATCATCGCTTATAATGAACCTCGCGCCTCAGATTTTGCACCCGTCCAAAAATCGATGAAAGCCACGAGTTTTCTTAAGTCACAAGCAACTGTGGTTTCTTGAATGTCATTTTATGAAGCCCGCGAGTCATACTCTTAAAATGAAAACTTGGTCATATGAAAGGATGAGCACCAGGACCAGTTTTGAAAAAGAGGCCAATGGTAATTCGGAAATGGGCTTTGTACATGCGGTTTGAAGTCGCACATATTTTGGGTATATAGCATTGGGTATCGAGTTACTGTTCCATCGCGTTTGAAGAATTTCAGTCATCTCTTTTCTCCGTTGCTTTTAGAGTCGGAGTTGAGAACGTCTCTGTCGTGACCAATCACGGAGGGACGCGCATCAGAAAAGGGCTTTGCTTAACACTTGTCAAGCTTAAAAGAAAAAGGTGAGCGAAGATCATGAGAAGATTGAGCAAGTCGATGAACAAGGCCGGCGCTAATAAATTCTGAGCCAGAGCAGGTTGTCAACTGCTAATGTACACGGTAAGACAAAAGTCGTTCAGCAATTCGTGCGAGATTTTTTCCTATCTATTTTTAAAGCGAGATGGGTTTGTGATTGACGTATGAATCAAACAGTGAGGTTTCGGTCTAAGGATATTAATTTGATGCGACCGCCGCCACAATTTGGAGAGCACGAAAATTGTGCCAATTTTTGGTTTGCAAAAAAAAATTGGAAAATATTTGAATTCGCTTCAGTGCGACCCGGCCCTAATATAACTATGATTTTTTCGTAACTGGGCGTGTATAATTATCCATTCTGTATCGCTTCCATCCTCCTAAATTCCCCTCCCTCCCCGATGTAGTGTTGTACCATATATGAACATACCACGTGATAGGTTGTCTATAAGGACGTGGCGCGGAACCTGTGGTGTGCTTGAATAAAGGACACTAAGAACGTTACATCTCCTCTGAACTTATGGGATTGACATTGCAAGAACTAGTAATTAACAGTCACGTATTTTGGAAATTTGGTATTTTGCAGAAACTCTGACTTACGATTATCGAATGCTGCTATAAATTCCATTCAGTGCCATTTTCAAACTATTAAACCGCTAAAAACAAGGTACGATATTCTGATTCTACTTTCAGAACAATTTACACTAATGTACTGACTATACTTTTCAGTGCAAAATACATTTTCTTTTAAATAGAAAATGTTACACAAAACATCACCTATATTTATGCCGGGTATTTTAGTGTTGGAAGAACAATTCGTGACCTACACATCAAAACACAGGTACATGTACACATGGTAGGGATATTTTTATTTATTTATTTTTTTTTTTATTTTTTTTTTATCTAAGTATCGATACGCTTCGTTACGTGGTATTTGAAGTAGTTTGCTACGACTCGTCAACAGTCCCTCAACTCGCAAAGGGAACGTTTGGTTCTCTGTTTGGTGATCCTGTCTGCAATATTACTAACTGGAAGATGGACAGAAGAACCATTATTAAAGATGTGAGAGAGTATTCAGTAACTCTTACGGGTCTGATAGGGTTACAGTTTCCATGCCTAGTTTCTGCAGCACAACCTTCCTCGCCACTGGCTCAGTTTCAGTCTTATGGTTTCCCATTCAACATGTCGGGTTTAACATTGAGAGATCACTTCTCTTTCTCCCCCGAAAATCTCGCTCAAGGACGTTATCACACTCTTGTCACGAATCTTTTCAACCACCAAGGTAAGCCATGGTATTTGTCCCGTGAGCTTTGTTCCTTTCTCTTCAACTATTCTGTGATGCGGGTTTTAAACCCAAATTTGCTGATGCAGCAACTATAAATCCGGTTCTTGCGGAACATAATATTACGCAATCCATCCAATATGAATATAAAGTGTTCATAAATTGCTTTACTGCCATCAGTTGTTTATTTCGCAGAAACCTTGACATGCCTCAGAAGAAGATCACTTTTCTCACCAATAAAAACCCATGTATTTTTAACAGTGGAATGACATATTTTGGCAGCCCTTAATTCATCTTCAAATGAACCAAAATTCAGGAAAGACAAAATATTTTTATTAGATTCATTGTTGAAAGGGAATGCTACACTTGGATTGCTTACAACCAGGTTTAGAAAAAGTGTGTTAAGTCAATTTTTGGGAGCAGAAGAGCATAAATGCTGGCATGCCTTGGGCATTACTTTTTTTGCCTGCCTACTGCTAGCATGCATGACTTTTGCTTAACACTTTCTTAGAGCTTTTGTGTACTTAAGGCTTTCAAAAGGATAACAGCGATGTGATATAGAAGTCCAGGAGGCTTAACGTTCAGTCTTTGCACTGTCAGTTTATTTTATTTTCACTTCATCTCATTTCATAGATGAACAGCACCTATTCAATAACTTTGCTACACTCATACCAAATGGGTACCATGTCCACAGACGGTTTGGTCGAAAGCATTTATTGGCAGCATTCTTTGGGGGTGGAGTAGCTGGAAATCTCACCCAGTTTTGTTTCTACATATTCCAAAAAATCCGCTGGGAGACTGTTTTACCATCACCAAAGTCTTGGGGTCTTCTTGGGGATTTGTTGGGCAACAAGGCAGAAATCTGGAAAAAGCTTGCTGTTGATAAAGCCTTTACTTCAGTTCATGGAACAACACCATGCAAAGGTGCCAGTGCGGCAATTTGTTCTATTGTTGCTGTTGAGACATGTGCAAATATTGTCTCCTTATATAACAAATACATTGAACTAAGAAGGCGGCGAAGGCTGGGAATAGCAGATCGAGAATGGGACAATCAGATGACACAAGAAGTGATGTATGAAGTGTGCCATTTGTGGCTTGTGATCACAGTTTTACTGAGTGACTTGCTGCCTTTATTAGACAGTACAATTCCTGGTAAAGGAATTGTTAGTACATTTGTAGCATACTCAGCAGATGGCATAGGACATGCAGCACATATGGGTGGTTTTGTATTTGGTGTCCTATATTATTTAATTACATTGTCTGGCAACAGAAGACAGGGTAATAATCGATGATCACAATATTGGTCAAGTAAGAAATGGAATGTTAAGATGTTGGCTTGAATGTTTTGATGTCCAGTAAGTTGTTATTCCATACAAAATGTACACACTGCTGTTTTTAGATGTACACTAAAAGTTTAATGTTTTTTAAGGTCAAACATTTTCTGTAATATTGGTCTGTCTAAAGAGTGTAACAGTTTATCATATTCTACCCCACCTTAATCAAAGGTAGTACTTGAATAAAAGTGAGCTTATTGTTTCCTTTGTGGAGGAGATACAACAACCAGGTTCAGGCAACCTAACCCTGGTGGACTGTTGGCCATCTCTCTTTTCTTCTAATTGACCAAAATTACCAGTATGTTTATCAAAGTTGTGGTAAATTTAATGGGTTCAAAAGTATTGAGTGGTGTACGTCTTTAGGAAACAGACTGAAGTTTTTGTCTTCCAGCCATGAAAAAAGTAATGTTATTAGCTTGCAATCACCAGACAATGGTCAAACTGTGCCATCAATTGAATGTTCTGCAACATTGATACCACACTTATTTAGGCAAAGCAGTTACTTAGCACAAGTAATTCTTCAAAAATGATCAAACATGAAATTTCAGTGCAGTTATTGACCCTTTTAACCCTAAAGAGACTGGTGTTTAATTTCTCCGGGAGCAGGGATGGTGCAGTGGTGAGAGCACTCACCTCCCACCACTGTGGCTGGGGTTCGATTCCTGGACCTGGCATCACATGTGGGTTGAGTTTGTTGTTGGTTCTCATCCTTGCTCCTAGGGTTTTTCTCTGGGTTCTCCGGTTTTCCTTCCTCCGCAAAAACCAACATTCCAAATTCCAATTCAATCTGGAAGTAGTGAACAAGGAAGAGCCATCCAGTGGAATGTCCATTGCTAAATTATTTATTATTTATTTATTCTCCACACAGTCTCACTACTGAATCAAACATTCTGGTCATGAGGTCAAAGGAAATGAAACCAAACTGAAGAAACTCACTATTGTTACAATCTCCTTGTCAATACTATGGGAAATAATGGGTGTAAAGGGTTGAAGAGAACAAATAAAATTCCTAAGACTCCATAAAATACTTTAAGTGTAATTAAAGCAATCATTTTATTGCAATTACCATAAGTTTTACTAATGAAAGTGACACATTCATTAAAATAAACTTTATTCACCCGTCTCCTTCAGATTGTTTGTTGATACAATCACAAGATCATTATACAGTTTCAGTTCAAAGTGCTTTAATTTGTAACAAAGAACAAATAAAATTCTTGGTTTACCTCACACACCATCAATCTCAAATTTTACTTTTTAAGAAAGAAGGTCATAAAGGAATCATTTTACACTTGTGTTACAGCAAAAATAAGAAAAGACTAGGTTACACTTTATGGATTGAATCAAATGGTCAGTATGTGACCTGTCGAAAATTTATATCACAATTACTGTCTCTCTTCTGCACTGATCCTCATTAACTGAATAGTAATCATAAAATTAATCAAAAAATGCTATTGGATAATCCATTCTGTATCCTGTTACATCATCACCAGAATAGAAATATATACAATTACAAATTATTGAGTCTGCAAGAGAAACCAAAAGAATAATGTAGTTGAACATAATGTGAACTCTCTCTTTAGGATCACAATATCAATTACTGGGGCACCATGTATTGTTTATCAAAAGGTTTGGGTCTGAGCCTTAAACAGGTCACTGTTGTAAAACTGTTCAAGTCTGAAAGAGTCTCTCGCAAGTTAGTAGACGAAGTGGGTACAAGAAAACTAAACTGTTACCACAGGGAGCCCAGACAAGCAACGAGTCTGGTTGTTTATTCGAAATATAAAGGAATGTATGGGAGAATATTGAAGAGTCTTATTATCGTAAACTTATATCATGAAATGTCTGAGTTAAAGCTCAAAATAAATGTAAACCTACCTCAATTGCTGTGTATTGTCATTTCTGTGGCTCTAAATGGCAAATTTGAGTGATTTGGTGGGTTTTGCATTGACTGTTACTATTATGTTATTTACTTCTCATAACGCATAGTAACAGTCGACGCAAAACCCACCAAATTGCTCAAATTTGCCATTTAGAGCCACAGAAATGACAATAAACAGCAAGTGAGGTAGGTTTACATTTATTTTGAGCTTTAACTCAGACATTTCATGATATAAGTTTACGATAATATGACTCTTCAATATTCTCCCATATATTCCTTTATATTTCGAATAAACAACCAGACTCATCGCTTGTCTGGTCTCCCTGTGCTGTAACAAGAAGCTGGGTGAGGACGGCAATCAACAAGGATTCCACCCACAGAGTTGCTATGCTCCTGACAGCTGAATACTAAAGAAACTGGGATAAGCTCCAACGGTGTAAGTCACAGCATAAAGAACAATGTTTGGGATTCAGCAACATTTGATAGCCCACATAATAAAAGCTCCTACTAGTTTTTTCATTTCATAGCAGAGTGTTTGTCAGTAAAAATTAGCTTGATATGAGATTTACAAATAAACTGCCAAATGATATCCTGGGGCTTTTGAGTTACACTTGCATTCCAATAGATCTGACAAAAAACTCCTATTTACTGAGAATGCTAACATGTCTGTCAACAATCTTTGGTGACTGCAAAGGACTATGCAAAGGATGTTGAGTTGAAAACAATTTGAATATTGACTATAAACGATAATAGAGAAAGTGTTGAGAACATGTTCAAGAATTGTTGGCCCACAAAATAATATTCATCAAGATTCTAAAAATGTTTTGTAACTGATAAACAAGAGGAAGTCTTTGACCAGTTGCTTAAAAATGGAACACAAAAAAATTCAGCTTTTTCCTTTTCTGCCAAAGTCTACATTAAGTCAGAGCTTTTGTTTTGCTTGTTAATTGTGTCTTGTGTGATAAGCTTTTTTCTGTTGTGTTTCTGAAAGGATGCAATCCAACTGAAAACCATACAAATACCACACCAGAAGGTTTATATTTTGTTTGCTTATAATTTTTTGGGCTCTGCCATCTTCATTGCTTTCATCTTTTTAGTGTTAATACACTGTGGCTGGCCTTTGGTAATTACCTTATATGTTACTAATGAGGCTAAACATCTTTGCCTCCCCATTCTTTGACAGCTGCCTTTAATGCCCCTGCTTTTATTTCTGGTCCAATAAGAGGATTAAGTTGACAGAAATAAGCACAAACCCAGCTAGCTCACGAGTTAAGGAAGAGGAACCTTAACATGATTTTCCTTGTTTTCTCACTGTTACTATGATGGATAAAGCAACACTAACTGACATTGTGAACATCGATACAGAAGGTTTATAAAACTATGGGACTCGAAACAGTTACAAGGTAACGTGTTGAAAAGAAATTTCAATAGGCAAATAGCAATCAAGCTCAAATTTGTAAAAGGATACAATAACCAACAGCATACAGCAGTCATCACAAGCATAGTCTGTATCAGTCTAGAATCACAGAAGATGGAAAGTTAACTTTATCACAACCTTAAACCATTTTTCCAATATTTTAGCTTGAATAGCTGCAATTCATCATCCTTGTAGGCTTATTTTTCTTCTCTCATATTAAGGTTAAGTTCAAGGCTACGTTTTTGTCAATGACAGAAAGAGAAAAGTAAACAAATGAACATACCAAGGGGTGGGGGGAATGGTTTGGAGCAGAGGTTGATTATGCCCCTCTAAAACTGCTTCTTTTCTTTGTCAAGCTTATGATGAAGTTTTCAAGAGAAGAAATGACCGCCTAACCCTCAGAAACGATATAAATGTACCAAACTTTCCTTAATTATCCCAAAATAATATCCAGTTGAAAATAGTCATGGGAAAAAAATCTAACTTGATATCACGTAAAACCTAATTCTTTCAACTAGCTAACAAGAAAATGTGTAGCATCTAGTGATAGTAAATTATCAGATCTTGGAAGTTAAAAGTGGAATCAGAGATTTAAACCAGGTTCTGAATATCTTAGATTTTCACCAAATATCGTAAGGGTCTTCTGTGGCGTTTAAGTTTGAGACGTATCGAATGTCATGATCATTTACCTCTTATTCGGTCCTTTCATAAAACAAGGAACAATTGCACCTACAATCACCCATATTACCGTAACAACAAGAACTGGAACTACTGCCATAGCCTTTGCAGTGCCATCGTAGTTCGCCATCTTGAATTATTTTGACGGACGATGTAATGTCACGTGAATTGAAATAGTGGACCTACAGAGGACGACGGGAGCTTGACCCAGTTTCTTTGGTGTTTGTCCCAATGATCAACATGGCGGACGAAACGAGCCAAATTGGGGTAGTGTTAATTTGTGGAATCCCTGCAGCTGGAAAGTCTTCATTTTCCAAAAAATTGCACAAATATGTGCATGAAATCACGGAGGGCTCTTTTCACACGATATATGTGTGTTATGATGACTTGATTCCTTCTGATTTAGATTTGTATAGTTGCAGTAAAGGAAACCCTTCTCAAAACGTTTTGGACATGGCAACTGAAAACAGGGTTGAAAAAAGCGAAAGTCTTGATAATTACTCTTTATGGAAACAGCACAGGAAATATATACTTGAAGCAGTCGAAAAAATCATAAATTTGATACAATCCAGTCCATGTGAAAATGGAGATGAGGGATGCGGATCAGAACCTAAGGCAGTTGAAGTAAAGAGCGAAGGACTACCTGGCTTTCAAGAGTTTTGGGACAATTTTCTAGGGAGTATATCTAGGAAAGAAAGAAAGTGTTCCTGCATCGAGAGAGGCTCAAGTAGCTGGAGGTAAAGTAAATATCAGTCTTTAAAATCGTATACTAGACCACAGAATTTTAGATTCCACGTTTGCTAATATAGCGGCTAGTAAAACACCTTTTGATTATGGGAGTTAATATGGTTAGTGCTGTTAGGAGGCTCCCATTTGAGATTTGTGGATAGGCTCCCTATAAACAAAGACATGAGAAGGAGTTAAGAAGCCTTCCTCTTCCTCTATTCTTCTTGTCAAGCCCTGTGCTCAGTATTTATAAACTTTATGACTGGTTAGTTATGTCTACAATTGATTGCATCTGATGAGTTGAGTGTAAAAGTAAGGTAAATTTTCCTCTGAATTAGCATCTGAGCCAGGAGGGGAGGCAAAACTTATCGTTTCAATGGCATAAAGCTAGTAGGAGTAGTGCTATTCTCCAGATGAGCAACCAGTCTTTTGCTGAGGTGGTTCCCCTCTGTATTTTTTCCGGTCTTCCCCACAGTTTGTTGATACATTTACTCTACATATTTATCTTGCTAGACAGAGAGTGACACTGTGATAGTTAGATAGCTAAGGCTCCTTGTTGGACACTTCACAATGGAGTCTAATCCACCACATTTACCACTTATTGGAGGAGAGAAAGAGAGAGAGAGAGAGAGGGGAGGGGAGGGGGGACAAGGTACATACAGGCTAGACATATACATCTAAGCCAGCAGAGTAAGCTTAAAGTAAGCTAAGGGTTGCCACCCAAGGTTACCTAGAATCCCATCATTAAAAGAACTGTCATTGTTACAGGTGGACTGGTACTGCTCATGTTATGTTAGTGGATGACAATATGTTTTATCACAGTATGCGGTATGAGTATGTCCAGCTAGCAAGAAAATGTGAGTAATTTTCACACATTCACATGGACTTTAAAGCCTACACAAAGGTATCGCTATCTGTGGAATTAAATGATGTATAGGCAATAGAGTTGGACAAAGATACCAACTTCTCAAAGTCCTAAAGGCTAGAAGGAAAACATGATAATTTTCAAGGGAGGAAACATTTTACCTTCTGTGAGATTTGTGACTTGGTAAAGGAGACTTGGAGATATGTTCTGTATGTGAGAGACTCCTGTACAAACTGTTAGAATTGATATAAATTTATATGTAATGGCAATCCTACTCTGTCCCATATGTTACTCTTTGGGATGGCACCCCTAATCTCTGGGGTGCTTTTCATACTCCATCCAGTTATTAGGTAAGTTACTGAGTCTATCCATTGTTTTAATAAGCACTTGGCTCACCAACAAAAATCTTTTCCAAAACTTCTTTTGCCACAGACACTAAATAAAATTCTAGTTTCTATAATTTTGATAATGGAAAAAGGCATTTCAGCTGTCACTTTTTTTCTTTCAAGGAAGACAGAACTGGGTTTGCAGAGGTGTTCTTGCAGTGTTCTCTTGAAATTGCGGAGAAGAGAAACAGCTCAAGGAGCCATCCAGTGTCCTCAGACACCATGAAGAATATGTTTAGTAAAATGGAACCTCCTGAGCCTGATAAGTTTCCTTGGGAGCAGTTCAGTGTCACAATTAAATCTGAAGAACAGTGGGATATTAAAATAATGTAGGTCGATCCACTGAAAAGTATTTAATGGTTGCATTATTTTATTCCACTACATCCAAATTCTTTCAAGAGTCTATCCATAATATGAATGCTACATATAACAGGTCTTGGAACTTTCTTAATTTACTGCTTTTCTCTGAAACAATTACTGACTTTTTTTGTAGAAGAAAGAGATCATGTGCAAAATTGTGCATCAAAATTAAAACAAGTTTGGAAATTCATTTACAATGATATTTGCTTTGGATACAATGAAATATATGAAGTTCATATATTTTGAACTGCGGTATTAGATACATATGGTGCACGATCCTCGCAGTAGATAGCGCTATTTAAGCAATAGCGAAAATCAGACCTGAAAAAAATCAGGCCTGTACGGGATTCGAACCACTGACCTCTGCGATACTAGTGCAGCGCTCTACCAATTGAGCTAACAAGCCAACTGGGAGCAGGCCGTTAAGTTTTGATTCATAATAAACCCGTGAAAGTGATAAATCAGATACAATGAAATATATTAAGTTCATATATTTTGAACTGCGGTATTAGATACATATGGTGCACGATCCTCGCAGTAGATAGCGCTATTTAGTCAATAGCGAAAATCAGACCTGAAAAAAATCAGGCCTGTACGGGATTCGAACCACTGACCTCTGCGATACTAGTGCAAATCAACTCAACAGCCTGCTCCCAGTTGGCTTGTTAGCTCAATTGGTAGAGCGCTGCACTAGTATCACAGAGGTCAGTGGTTCGAATCCCATACAGGCCTGATTTTTTTTTCAGGTCTGATTTTCGCTATTGCTTAAATAGCGCTATCTACTACGAGGATCGTGCACCATATGTAGATATTTGCTTTGAGAGGAATGATATGGAGGCAGATCTTTAAGACTATCTTACAACCAATTTCTCTGAATACTTCGAAAACATTCTTAAAAGACTGGAAAATTTTTACTAGTGAAATTCATTGAACCCCAAATTATTCCCTGCTTACAAAGGGAAAAGTATTATTTAACTATTATGTACACCCCAGGCATTTAACTTATGTATTCAAGTTTTCCTTTAGGGAAAGTGTGACTTGCCTTATTAGAGAAGCTTTGAAGCACCCAGAGATAATATCAGTGGAGGACTTTGAGGAGAAGGTTGGAAAGTGATTGTGATATCTGATGATAACTGTTTTGTGTTTAGGAAGATGTTAACTAAGTCAACAAGTAAGTTACATAACTCCTCCCTGACTGAATGATCATGAATGACATTGAAACAAGTGGTATTTACTTGGAAGTGATCCTTAAAAACCACCTCTCACTTAGCTCACACTGGACTGTTGTGTGGGAGGTTGAGGGTTTGAGCCCTGGCTGGACCAACACTCAAGGTCTTAAAATAATTGAGAAGAATATGCTACCTTTCTATAACATCAAGAAATGGTTAGATATTCTAGTCTTCTCAGATAGGGACGAATAAATGGAGGTCCCGTCTCCTGCAGGGTTAGGGGTAGGAGACGTTAATTTCCCACGCACGAGATTATTGTGTGATGGATGTCCTCCCCTGGGGTGGGATGGGTGGGTTGGGGTTGGTTTAGGTAGATGAACCTAGTAGGGGACTACATGTCCTATTGTTCTCTCGCCTGTACACTGTTGCAGTAGTGAACCCTACTCATGAATGTAGTAGTAGAAATAAGGCTTGAAAAAAATTGAGGCCCGTATGGGATTTGAACCCATGACCTCTGTGATACTGGTGCAGTGTTCTAGCAACTGAGCTAACAAGCCAACTTAGGCCTTATTTCCACTACTACATATTAAGTAGGGTTCATTACTGTGAGGATCACTTTCATGCATTTCCTGAAACCACAGTACACATATATGATTTTCATATATTCAAATTCAGAGCCATTTACTTGTCTGTATTAGATACTGTTAACCTTATACCCTAACATCCATATTCTCCAAACTCCTCTCTATACTTTATCTTTGGTGCTGACAAGGAGAATTGCTTTAACAGTCAAAGCTTCTTAGGCTGGCAATCATTTCCATTATTCGCTTAATCCTAATGAATGATTTAGCAATATTACTCTGGTTACTTTAATGGTTTAAGCTAAGGATAAATGGCCCTTAAATACATTGTTCACTTCTTAATTACGGTTTGATGTATTGCCAACCATAATTAACATCTCTATTTAATCCTTCAGTTAACAAGAAAGTTATTAATTAAAAGTGATCAAGGCTCTTTTCGCTCTTTCAAAGGAAAGGTCAAGAATGGCCTGCATAACAAGTATTGTTTATCAGACTGACCAGGTGCTCAGAAAATATGTCACCAGGGCCATCACTGAGGCAAAAGGCAGGTTTTAACAATTAGAAATGAAGAACATTTAGGGTTGCCATGGTCAGGGAAAAGTCAGGGAAAAACCAAAATTTTTCAAAGTCAGGGAAAAGTCAGGGAAAATCCTAGTTCTCATCAAGTCAGTGAAAAGTCAGGGAATTTTGTTTTGAGGGTTCCAGAAAGGTTTGTGAAGTAGTCGATCGAGTGTAGCAAATGTAAAGGTGGATTTGGCTTGTTTGATAATTAATTTAATTCAAGGTCAGTGAAAAATGTTTTGAGGTCAGAAAACATGTTCACCATCACATAGAACTAATTTAAAACATTTTGAATAATTGATGCTTTTAGTTGTCAATGTCAATTATGTCTTGAACAGCAATTGGTGCAGTGCAAGTTTCTCTTGATAGATTCTCCTTCCACTTTTTGTAAAAAATGGAGTGTTGCTCTTGTGGTTCATTCATGTTCCTTCTAAGATGAGCTCAAAGAAAGACTTTATTTTCTTTAAATAAACATTATACAGTATAATAATGCAGTACTGTTTCTGCTTGATTGACATCTTGGAGAGGAGATGATGATTTTTATTTAAGGGGAAAGGTGGGGGGAAAGTTTACCTTTTAATTATTATTATCATTATTATTTACTCTTACTAAGGGTAAAAAATTAATGTGCCTTACTTTTCCTGAAATATTACCAATGCAGGGAGTGGAAAGGGGAAAAAAGAGCTTCAGTCATTGGCAGCTGAGTTCAACAAGCAGAAGAAGGAATTTCTAGACAGTTTACACAGCATCAAGAGCCATTCTAAATGCAGCAGAAAATACAAGAGGACTCTAGGTCCTAAACAACACTTCCCTGGAGATCACACAGAGTTCACAAGGGACGATTCAAGTGAAAGAACACTTAACACAGCTTGCAAGGAATCAGTTTTAACTGATGAAAAGAAAATTGGTCTTGTTCAAGGAAGTACTCCATGTTTTGAAAACAATGTGGCTGGAAAGTCAAAAATTGGGGATTCTAGATCACACTTTTGTCTCAATTGCTTTCCAGATGTTGAAGATAAAGAAGAATTTAAGTCATTTGTGCAAGAATTATTCAGTGAAATTACTCAATCATAGGACTGTACTTTATTAACAACAGACAGGGAATAAATATGCAAATTATAGAATTCTCACAGTAAATATTAAGCTACTAGTGTTATGCTAGAAGTTAATTACTACTTATTAGTTAAGTCTTACTAAAAATAGTGGATTTACAATGTTGCCAGATTAACTTACTGCTTCTCGTCAAAACCTTGTGATTGTCAAGATTTGTGGTGTACTTCAGGGTAAAGAAAACTAAAAACTAAAGTCAACAAATGACAGAACTTTTATTCCTAGGAAAAATCAATTTGTCATATCACTTTTTGGTTTGACAAAAAGAGGCCCTTTGGTTTTCATTTTATTTCAATTTAATCTTCTTATAAATTGGCTAATAGTTATTTTGAGCTCTAACAGATGCTTATGAGATGTTTTATTATATGCAAGTTACATTATATGACTGTCTACCTTGATGGCAGTATACCAGCTAGAGTTGGGTACCGGTACCATTCCTAACTTAAAACTTTTAATTTATCATTTGTATTTACCTGCAACATGGGCTCCTTTTCTACTGGATCAAATTATTAATTTATCAATTGAAATAAAACCAGTGAGTTTGTTGGGTTCCACAGTAAAACAATCAAGAATTTGTGAGAACTCAACTTGGGAGCAATTAGAAAGCAACACTGGAAAAAGACGCAGTGCTGATTGATTGAAAAAAATGTGCTTCAAGTTAACATCATAACATCCAATAATAGCTTGAAATTTTAGGTTATGCATTCATTTGTTTCTCAAACTCAACTAAGTATACTTTTAGGCCTGCCTTCTTTCTGCACTAGAAGCTTTCACTTTTCATCAAAACATACGTGTAGCGATTAATTAAACCTGTTGCTACAAACATTCATACCCCAGTTACTCTAAGGAATATCAATTATTATTGATAGGACTATCTATTAACAATAGACAACCCCATTCACCCTCTTAATTGTAAGAACTTTTGATGGCTGGTTGGCTCTCTTCCCAACAAAATTACATTTGAGCCCCAATTGGGGATTTACACTGCATGTGCCTGATATCTATTAAAAAACTAAAAATATGAATATTCTAGTAAAAGTTGGTGTTGGTCTATGCATTCTTACAATGTTATATTGAAGTCTCAAAATATACTTTTAGTCATACCCAGCATGTTGCTTTAGAGTAGGTTGCTATTTTTTCCCAATTCAGTAATATACATTCCAATGTCTATCTCACAGTCTATAACCCAGCAATAATGTCAAGTAAACATAATTCAAGTACACTACAAACTTTATCCTAAAATTCACCTTTGTGCACCATTCTGGATTTTGTGTGACCCACTATAAGTGGGAGCATTTCATAAATTACTTCATATAAAAGTTAAGGCATTTTTTTCTCATAAATATCAACTAGCATAACTCAATATACTTCTAGCATACAATAAACAAAGCTACAGGTGAGAAGTCAGAAATGGGGGAGGAAAACATATACCCAACATCTGGTGGTACAAACTATCAGGAAGACAAATATAGTAATTATGGATGATAAATGTGCTATATATTATGAACAATTAATTTGAACCCAAAGCTTCAAAACAAAGCTAGGGACTAGGATAATCTGCTCAAACCAACATATATTGAGGAAAACACAGACAGGTTAGCTTCCAAGAAACTCAACATTATCATGATTGCTATCACTAGTCTTAAAGCTGATTGTCCCTAAAGCGCCTGAAATAGAAATGACAAAAGATAAGTCATTTTAAAACCAAGGCCAAAACCAATTGAAAGTGATCACACATGCCAATAGTAGGAAAGAAAGGAGCCTTTGATAACTAATAGTAAAAACAAGCAAACTGCCTTAAGAAAAATAAAACATGACCAGAATGTGGTTGGCTTTAGTTGTGCATCTAACTGGTTAAGAGGGAGGCAAACGTTTTCTAGACCTATCCCATTTAAATGTCAAACAAAACCAATTCTGGATTACATCTGTCACTGAATATATATTGCTCTCAAGTGACAATTAAATTGTCCAGACTATATCATTCCAGTCATCATACCGTACCATTTCAATCAATAGGACCAGATTGTATTTATAACATTTATGATACCAGTGTTAGAACATAAAATTTGCAACATTAACTAATTACCTTCTTGCATTCTCAAGCATTTGTGCTTTCCTTTGATTTAGAAGTCTCTGCCTTTCCTCTGAATTTCGTGAAAATATTATTTGTGGAGTAGTTGGAGTTTTCTGAAAGAAATAATTTTGATTAAAAAGAATGAACAAACACAATAAAAGTTGTAGAAAGTTAACTGGTCCACAGTAGTGAATAGACAAACACAGCCAAAAGAAACACAAGATGATTGATGGATATTTGGTGTAATTTAACCAACAGTTTTTACTGAAGAATGCAATACCCATTGAGATCAACAATGACCATTCCACAATGGAGTTAACAATCAACTGGCTTATACATACTAATTAGGCAAATGAATCTACTGTAAGACACATCTGGTTCATTTCTGAAGACTTTTCTGTGTCTACTCATAGACTAGTCTTATACTAGCTTTTTTTTTGGGATATATTTTGGTCTCCTTATCTTTGAGCTGCATTGTAGATTGCCCTGACTCACTGTATGTACAAAAACACTCACTTCTTTAGAATTTCCTAAAGAGGCACTCTTCACTTCGTTATCTGACTTAGCTTCTTTCTCTGGTGTGTAGATGACTCTTCCTTCCAAAATATTGGTGATGGTTGTATCAACACAGTGTGTTTGACCTTGAATAAATAGAATATGCAATGGATTTAGGAGGATGAAGTCTGTGTTGCACCCCCCCCCCCTCCACAGCCTGAGCTTATTCCTGTTTCCATGTTGCATGAAGCAAGTAGGAGTATTACTAATCCCACCTGGATGGGGGGTAACAAGGTTACCTCCCAGTGTTTCATCAGGCCCCTCCCTGACAGTTTTCTGTTACCCATTTATACTCCTGGGTGGGGAGAGGCACTGTGAGAGTTAAACCACCACCCAGTTAGCCCATGCAATGGATAGTGCACTGGACTGTTGTGTGGGGGGTCAAGGGTTCAAGCCCAGGCTGGACCAACACTCAAGGTCTTAAAATAATTGAGAAGAATTTGTTACCTTTGTAGAACATCAAGAAATGGTTAGATATTTTAGTCTTCTCGGATAGGGACGAATAAATGGAGGTCCCATCTCCTGCAGGGTTGGGGGTAGGAGACATTAATTTCCCACACACGAGATTGCTGTGATGGATGTCCTCCCCTGGGGTGGGATGGGTGGGTTTATACATTGAGTGTAAAGTGCTGTTGATCTGTCATTGTAAATAGCGCTCTAAAAGAAATAAATTATTATTATTATTATTATTAGAGTGAAGGGTCTAATACCCAGGAAAACAACACATTGACTCAGATCAGCAGGGTCTTGAACCCAGACCTCTTGACACAGAATTCAGTGAACAGACCATTAGGCCACGACCATTAGGCCAAAATAGCAAGATGTCAGATTATGGTTGTTTGTAAGCAGTTCTTCAGTTTAGTCTATGACTGTGAGGGATGAATGAAAAGTTAAAATGTAGATGCAAGGTTTAGATGGTTGCATTGTTTCCCACTGCACTAAGAATACTTCTTTTACGTAGTACTATCACAATAGGACTAAACACGACTAACAATCTTTATCTAGCTTTTAATAAAAAAAATTACAGCACAGATTTATATTT